TCCTTAGCATAAGTACGGTTACTAAAAACTACTACTACTTTTTTAGTAACCGTGAGTACCTAAGCTTGTGCTATGAAAGTGTGTGTGAACACTTAGCATGGGTAAGAATCGCTAAATACAGATTAAATCTGGCTGTTTTTTAAGACCTGATCTGGATCGATAGCACGGGCTAACAAAGTGTGTGAACGCTTAGCTCAGGATGAGCCCATGATAATCAATGTAAGCACATCTAGAGATATTGTTCTTGAAAAAATGAACTGACAATGAGACTCTGTGCTACTTCCCGTTATTCTGCAATCTGCATTTTTTGAATTTGCTTTGGTATTTTTTTGTAACCGTAGAACTAACATGTATACCTTCTTACTATTCTTTTGTAAACTTTGGAGATATTGGGTTACATCGCCGAGCATACCCCTTCTAACACATACACGCTCACCCAATGATCTAGGGTTAGATCACCACGTATGCACACTCTCAGGAGTTTTTCTAGAAAAAAAACTGCCAGAGGGAGCACTGCAATTCCACTAAGTGGGGCGGTATGGTTTCTCCCTACCAGGGTGTGGAGTTTTTGATAATTCTAAGTTAAAATGGCTTCCTTGGGGCCAAAATTACTATCAGACAGGTCACAGTTGAAGACTGTGGCCACATGTGATCCCTGGTCAGTCAGAATTTTATGGTTGCCAGAGGATCTGCTCCCCAGGGTAAGGGGGCGCATGACCATGGCATGAGGGCGCTGCACCCTTGTTCCCTTGTTTAAAAAAAATCCTTGCACTCTGAACATAACAGTAAACAATACTAAACACAGTATTAATTTCATTAAAACAGCAATGAGTAGTTGAAGAAAACTTGACTTTACCAGAGATTGGCTGGAGCTGTTTACTACAGCATGACTTGCAATGAAATAATCCCTATTGTTTAGAAGTGTATTTATAGTATACATGTACGTGGGCCTATATGTAAGCCTACTACATGTACAGGAAGTGTATAACACCAGAGCACTACCAGTAGAAATGTTTTCATGGAACATCAAAGACAACAGCTATATTGGGAAGCTTGACATGTACCATATATCTATACGTACCC